TGGAACCCAGGAGGAGAAACGTCTTTGCTGGGAGGGTGGCTGAGCCTGGAGCAGCTGCCCAGAGAGGTTGTGGAGTCTCCTTATCTGGGGAGATTCCAAACCTGCCTGGCTGTGACCCTGGGCACCCTGCTGTGGGTGAGCTGCTGGAGCAGGAGGGTTGGAGGAGATGATCTCCAGAGGTCCCTCCCAACCCCACCACGCTGGGATTCGACGATCCCTTTCCCCAGCCCCTCCTCACCTTGAAACGAGCCAGGTAGTCGCCGATGACGCTCTGCTGCCAGATCTCCTCAGCTGTCTTGGGGGACTCGGGCAGCTTCCCACGCTCCTCCTTGTCTGAGCCGTGCTTCTTCTCCGACTGCGCCTTCATCGCCGCCTCCCGCGCTTTGTACTTGGCCTGTGCAGGGGTGCAGCGAGGGGCTGAAGGGCCAGCTCGGCCACCAGCCACCAAGCAGGATGTTGTAGCTTCCCCCAGTGCTGTCCCTACTGCACAGGCCCACGTCTCGGGACTCCCACCCCACCAGGAAAAACATCAAGCCTTCAAACTGAGGCTCGAGGACGCTCCAAGGTTTGTCAAGTGGGTGGGTTTTGACCCACCAGGTCACGGGAGGGAGAGGGCACAGCCAGCAGTGCCTGGGGGATGGCACACAGGTGCCTGGGGGCCAGCAAAGCCCTTGGCAGCAGGACAAGGACAGCGTCCCCGTGTCTGCTGGAGATGTCCAGTGGAGACAGAGATGGAGGAGGAGAGCTGGGGAAGGTGCCAACCTTCTTCTTCTCGGAGAGGTCGTTCCACATGCGGGCCAGGAGCCGGGTCAGCTCGCTCTCCGACAGCTCCGGCCGCTCCTCCTGCAGCTGCTTCCGCTTCTCCTCCGAGAAGATGAACATGGCAGAGATGGGCCGTTTGGGCTTCTCTGAGCTGGCCTGCGGGAGGGACACGGGGCCAGGGGTGAGGCACAGCCCAGAGAGGGACCTGCCTCGCGCCGGTAGCCTTCGACCCCAGGAAAAACACAGTGAAACATCCACGTAATGAAGGCTTAAAACACCCCGAGATGGCAGCAACCCCATCCCGTGTCACTGGCACGTGCTGCCCCAGCTCTCCAGAGGCTGCTCTCACCTTGCCCGTCTCTGGTGAGGACTTTTTGGACGCAGGACTCGTTGCCCCTTTCCGGTTGCTGCCCAGCATCTTCTCCTCGCCCAGCACCCGCTGCTGCTCCTCCTCGGGCAGGCTCTGGGTGGCACAGGAGGAGGAACACGGGTTAGGCTCTGACAGCCCAACGCTATGAGGCACTGAGGCACTCGGGGAATAGGGACGCTGGGGAGGGGGAACTAACACACCCATTCCCCCCCCAGCCACGGCCAACATCAGGCACTGCGAGCCTGGGTGCGCAGCCTGGGGGTCCCCGTGCCTGTGTCACCCCCTTGCCAGGCAACGCCCCCGTTCCCCTGCTCTGTCCCC